GAAGCGATGGCAGAGTGAAATGCCCTTTAGCAGGGTTCCAGCAGTGTCTTAGAGAGCTTATTGGAGCGATCCGAAACAGATAGGAAAGTAAGCTATCAATTAAATAATGTGAGTGATCAAATGGTACCGATACCATTGCTGTATGCCTTGTTCTAAATAGATTAAGAGACGTAGTCAGTTCTCAACAAGAGCTGCACGTAGCTACACCAGAAATACCGTAGGAGCTGTCATATAGGAGGAGAGGAGGAGAATGCTTTTTAAAATGCATTTCACTAGTGCAGTCCCTCCCTCTGATTTATTCCAGCCTTCCAGATTCTTGCAAGAACAGGTAACATGACCGTCTTTTGCAATACCATGAATGTGCTTGGGACAAATGAGGAAAATATTACAAATTCTGTTGCGATATTAAACATGCAGTAACTTTGCTAAGACTGTTTTTATCCAAAATATCTTTGTATTTAACCTTTAATTCAGAAGAGATGCTGATTTTTCCATTCTTCCTCATTTCTAAACGCCTGAAAAGTAAGGAAACAGACACTAATGGATGGCACCTTGCGGTGTGAAGCTCAGCGTTTTGCACTAAATTATCTTCGACATCTGGCGGAAGATGTTAGATTTGTTTAGTAGTATGTCATGTATTGACTAGAGAAGACCAAAAAATGTTGGAAATTATGTCTTGTAGAGAAGACTAGTTTCCTTTATATAATCCTGTATGACTGCACAAGTGAGGAGAAATGCTAGTATTTCTAAGACTGCCAAAAATCCTGCTCTTAAAATGTTTGTTGTAGTGCTGTGCAACTACCAGTTCAAGGATGTGTAAGGTGAAGATGCAGCAACATTTTAACTGACCTCAAAAATACCATGTTTTAGTTCAAACTAAACAGTAGTAATGAAGCAATTCATGATTTTTACCCATGTCCATGAAGCTATTGACTTGTGAAGTGATTTTCATTAGAAGAGCATTTATATATTTCATTGTCAAAATTTCATGTAGTCATTACTGATTAAAGTATCAAATCAAATGTGATGATCAGAAGAAAGATCTGCCCATGTGCACATTTTACTGATCTAGGTATTGACCAGCTGAAGTGAACTAATAGCACAGGAAGCTGTTTCCTCCCAATCCCAGTACCATCTGCTTCTGCAAAGTCACCGAATTTCAAGGAGAAACAAAAATGCAGCTTCTTTAAAAAGTGTCTTTGGTATAGAAATGTTCAAAGTTGTAAAGAAAAGTGCCACTTCCTCAGGATAGTGTAATCTCTGCATTGTTGATCTTGTGGGATAACGGCATGAGTTGCTATTCTTGGCCCCAGGAAGTAGGAGCTGAAATGACAGAAGGATGTCTAGTTCCCAGCTTCTTCAACTTCCTCCTTTATACAGCTAGTGCTCTGCTTTCCTCTTTGCTCAGCCTTTTTTTCAGGATGTTCTGTGCATCAGCCACTTTTTTGTCAACTTCTCATTTGACTTCACTAGCCCTGCTGTTTTCTTTCTGGAGTCACTCTGCATTTATTCTGATGTAATGCAGAAACACTTTGGTGTGACAGATTTTCCAGCAGTCTCTTTTTAGTTAAAGCATGTGTATATTGATAATGAGGAAAAGATGGCTGTTATCTGAGTTTGTGGGGGTTTGGTTTGTTGACTTATGTGTTTGTTTTTCTGATGGAATAGGCATATGGATATATTTACAGCTTTGCCCTGCTCAAGCTTTGTACGGTCAGTGGTGCAGGCAAGATTACAGGCTGGATTTTTGCATTCTGATAACCTATTCAGCTAAATACCTACTACTTATCTGGAGGCTAACAGTATTTCAGCTATGCAAACTTGAAAGTACTAAAGGCTATACTGGAAATTTTGTACTCCCTGGTTACTGCACACTCCCTAACTGAGAGAGCAATGACAGAATTGATACGTACGTAACTGGTGCTTCTTACCTCCCCCCATGAATGTGGTGCATCTTTTCATGATCTTCACACATCTTACCTACTTGCAATCTCTCGTTAAAACCAAAGTTATCAAAGATATAGAGATTTAGATCAGTCTCTTTCATGACTGTCAGATGGGAATACTATTCTTCAGGTAGCTAGTAGTTTTTGCCAATATTTGTACCATTTTCTAAATGGGCAAAGGTAGTTGGATGAATGGATGGTTACCAGTAAAATGCCCCTAGTTTGTTCAGACCCCGGAGGCTGATAACTAAGCCTGCATTATAATAAATACATGAAGGATCTTTCAAATCTCCCTCAGCTGGCAACAAGTGTACAAGAGAGAATCATTCTGATACTGAGCTAGGGCTAATTAAGTCAAAAGATAAGTTAACCGCAAAGAGGATATGATAAAAATCTGTCTGGAATACGTTACTCTTGGGAAGGTCTACTACATTCAGTGCTTGACTGGATGTACTTGTACAATTTCCAGCCAGAAAGGCTGTTTCTTCATCTTACATGGATTTTTGCACGATTTTTGGCCATAGCTGTCTGGATTATATTTTTGTTTGGTGAAGGCCACCCCCATTTCACCCCCATTCATTCCATTGATGTCATGTGATATCAACAATAACGTTTTTTAACAAAGTAGCTAACATTAGAAAGATTCTAAAAGATTCTAAAACTTTATCATACCCTGCTAAAGCAATTGATTCTTCATCTATATTTTGAGCTATCTTAGGAACTGCTAGTGCTTTCCTGGCGTATATTTTTTGCATATTTGCAGTGGAAGATACAATTACAAAGCAATTCTGTTCTTAGGCAGTAGGAAGATGTTGTATAAGCAGAAGCTGATGACGACTGAAGGTTTTTTATGCAGTTCTGTAATTCACTAATTAAAAAACATCATTCTAGCAAACAGAACAGCCTCTTGAGATAACGCTTAATGAACATTTCAGTGACTGGATACCTTTAAACTCTGGTCAAGATTGCTACAGTTCATGAGATTGCATTCAACAAGGCTGCACATTATAGTACACAAATTGGTTTTAGCGTTCATCAAAGAATTTTGAACTGTTTAGCATATTTATATCTCTTGTATTTACATTTGCTGAAATAATTGAATTTGTAACCATTGTAAGCCTGTGCAGATCTCTTTAACTCTGTGTATTGATTGTTACACTACATCAGTTTTACCTCATTAATAACAGAGTCTTTGACAACGATGCCTCCATACAGACACTGGTTTTCATTCTTTCAGGAATCGTCTGGTTTGGGAGATATATCCAGAACTCTTTACAGTGTGACATGTAAAATACTGACTGGCTGAATCTTAATAAAGCCAGCTCTCTGTGAGTGCAGCCAATGGCTTTGGGAAGACGCCTTGCAGAAAACTCCTGTTAGCTGTTAAAAAAAGCCTCCTCAGGACTAGTCACAAAGATGACTAAACTTTCTTGATGATCTTGACAGATTCTTCTGTCTCTTGGAGGGGAATGAAGAACAATGCATTGCCCAAATTAAAACATAATGATTCAAAGCCTTTGGCCATTAATAAGCCAAAGCGGTTGCTCTGCTTTTACGGGATGCAGTCTAGGGCTTAATAGCTAATTGCTGATACTGCGCAACTACCAGAAAGAACAGGGGATTTCTGCTTGTTCATATTATAGAAACAATATTTAGGACACAATGATCTTTAACATAGAGGAGTTAAGGATTTTAATTTATCATGGGCTGGTAGTTGTTGCCATGGTGGAGCCTAACCATATGCTCTGTCTTAGCAACAGCCTCTGTAGAATGGTGCATACAGAAAACCTCAAGTGAAACAATTACGGTGTGATTTACACTTCATCAGCAGGCTTAAAAAAAAAAAGGCTTATTAGGTGGAATATATGTAGAACTTTGTCAGATCAGAAGTGACTAAAGATGATGGCTATGGTAGCTATTCTTTCTTTCATTGTCAGGATAATTGAAATACTGTAAAGAAAAAGCAGTCTGGTGGGTATGGATGCAATGTTCCAATTTTAACACTCTTATGCTTCATCTTGTCTCTCTTCTTCCTTCCTCCCCCCAACCCCAAGCTCCTTATGTCAGTGCCTGGAAGGGATGATACAAATTTGGTGTTATGATTATTCAGTCAGGAAAAAAACACTTTCAAAATAATTTCTATTAATATTCAATTCTTTACTAATTTATATCATCAAGATTGCCATATTCCTGCAGTTCTTTGGTAATGTTTCTTCTCACTGACAGGCATTTTGTAATTGAGGACCACCTTCACAGAAATATTTAGGGACATAACAGTGAGTTCCACTGAAGCACTCAGGCACCAATAAATTAGGATTCTGAGTATTTTTTACTTAAGCATATGGATCTTAAGATGCACAAAGTTCTTAAATGCAATGAGTACCATTATATGTGATTTTCAGACATCTGGCTCCCAGAGGGGAATCCACAGTGCCACCATCTATACAGGATACAAAGAGAAAGACACCTGGAAATGTGTTACTCAGCAGCCAGCATGCTGAAGCCAGTACAAGCCTTAGCTAGGTATCTAAACTGCATATGAGAGATTCCTCTCTTTATACGTAGTGCTTCAAGCCTCAATACTACAACAGAGTTGAGCTTCTTCCTGTTTTAGATATAAATGGGCCATTAATTTCAATTGGATATGGACATCTCAGCATCTTCTTTTGGACCTACGCCTAAGTGAAGGAGTGTTATTTTATACTATTATGTTTTGCTAGATGTAAAGCGATGAGATTATGAAAACTATTTGCCTTTACAGTTTGGCTTTAACTCTAGTATGGAACTAATACTTGGTTTTGGAGTCTACATTTGTGCCGCTTTTTTTTTTATTTTCCTGTCGCATCTCATTAAGTCACATTCTTTTAGCCTGTTCTACTTTTATTTTTCTGTATCCACGTATTCCACCTTAATCCTGAGGGTTTAATACAGCAACAGAAGAATTTTTGATGCTAGCTTTGAAAAAGCAAAATTTGGTATGAAGCTTTCACATTTCCTTCGATGTCACATATGCTTTTAATTAATAACTGTTTTTAACGTAAAACATTTCACCAGAGTTGGATACCAAGCAGAAAAAGTATTGATTAAAATGGCATGAAGTAAAAATATTTTAAACATCTCTTCTAAAGTAAAAAGGCCAAAATAGTAAAGAAAGATATTCACTGAAAACTACTGTAGCATCTGCCATATGATGCTGTGCCCACTTCAGTAAAATCTGCATGAAAACCCCGGGAAACTGAGTATGTGAAGCAGTAAGCAGCACTAACTACGGAGTTCTTAAAATATGTTTGCACTGTCAAAATGTGGTTCTACCTTTTGTTTCTAGTCTTATAGATTACATGTTGTCTGGGGCAGCCTTCCCTTATTAAGTGGGATATTATGCTTTTACTCATGGACAAAATTGTTTGAATTTAAGGCTGAACTGAAAGGGAAAAGGAACTGCCTGTATGAGCGCACATTAGAAACATGAAGATCCTGATTTCCCAGTGCCTTCCATCTAGGGCTGACACCAACACATGGACAAAGTTGCAGTCCAATTTGCATCATTTTACAGTCTTTCACACTTGTTTTATATGGCTGCAGAAGTGTACATCGATGAATATTGAGAACTGTTCTTTACATGGTCGCTTGAATAATAAATGGACCTAGACAAACCAATAAATCTTGCTTTTATTTTGCTGCCTCACCTCAGTAGACTCCTTTCTGGGGCTAGGTCTGTGTTCTCTGTGCTGCCTCAAAGCTCTTCTTCCAGGTCTTGGAGCCTTTCCAGGTCAGGCAGCCTCCCATGGCCTCGGGTGATAGATCCTCCTCTCTTTTGCCAGAAGCCTCCTTATGGCACATTTTGTTCCTTCTGTGAGTCATTTTTCAGTTACCTGCTCGGTCACTTTATCTTGCTGCCCTGTTTGGAAAGTTTGCATTTTTACCTTTCTGCTGCCTTTTAGAGAGAAGGTGGAGAAGAAGTTGCTTTTCTACCTTTAACTAGCCTCTTGAGCATGCCTTCTGTGTAGACATGGGGGTCATGGTTAATGACTCTTCATTGTGCCTAATCTGGTGGGTGGTACAGAGCTTTTAAGAAAATTACAAAATTCCCTGTCCACAAATTGAAATAAAAAAACACAGACTTTTCACAATAATTGTATACAGTTGACTAGATCTCATAAAATGTACACTAGCAGAATCCCAAATCATCAAAGCAAAGGAATCTGAAAGTATTTCTCTGAGATAAAAGGATACAAGCTCTTTCTGTACTTCAGTTCTCCACGAAATTTTGGGTCCCTGGCCATTTTCAGCATATTCCCCTGCTATTTTTAAACTGTGCATCTGCAAAATTTCAAATACACACACACACACACACACACACACACACACACACACACATATATATACACACATGTATGTGTATATATAGGAGGATGAGGGTAAAAGGTAAGGTTAACAGAGTATGGCTAGATTGTTTCCCTCTTGTGTGAGGGTGCTGGGTATAATTAGGCACAGTGAACTTGAATTTAGCATATATGAACCAGGAGACTGAAAATTGCCTTTGAGATTTAGTTTAAACTTAGGAGGTCTGGAGGGAATATGCAGAGAAGCACTTGTCAGTCTCACAACATCTGCAGTGAAGATGCCTGAACAGAAGGGCAAATTACCATATCTTCTGGGAGGGTGAATATATCACAGAGTAGCCAAAGATATATAGTGTTAAGAAATGTCTAATAAAATGCAATCTAAATTTATGTAGTCCATGAATCGTCGCAATTGGAGTTACTTAGGTCAGGATGAGCCTTCAGTGCACTGAAGTTTACTGCCTTTGACCTGAAATTAGCATTATGTGCCAGTGGTCCAAGTTAAACCAAAAGAAGTCTTCAGTGAGCAGTGTCTGAAGATAAATAATTTGGATTCTGCTTAGAATTTGGCAGCTTTGAAAAATCATACCTGTTTGGAGCAATATAAAAGACCTGCTATTTGTGCTTAAAAAGGCTCAGGAGAGAAAACTGCTGGCACTGCAAGACAAGTGAGAGCGATTGCCTGCAGTCATCAGAGATGTAGTGCTGGGGGAGGGTCCTTGCCCCAGCTGCTGCTGTGAGGGAAAAACCAGGAGAAGAGAATGGGCTAAAACCTCTCCCCAGCATGCTGCGAGGAAGGCAGCTTCTGCCAGGTCTGTGCTGGTCCTTGTGAAGGTCAGCCCTACTCAGCGCTACTGCCTACTAGGACTGCAGTGTGCAGCCTTGACCCAATGCAAGAGAGACACAGACCTACGGGAGGGACACAGGGGTGAATAGGGACTCGAAGCATCTCTCATATGAGGAGAGGCAGAGAGAGCTGGGACTGTTCAGAGAAGACTCTGGGGGATCTTATCAATGTGCATAAATACCTGATAGGGGGATAGTAAAGAAGAAAGAGCCAGAGTCTTCTAAGTGATATCTGGTGAAAGGGCGAGTGGCAATGGGTGCAAACAGGAACTTCCATTTCCATTTCCATTTAAATTCCATTTAAACATTAAAACCTCAGTTGTTTATAGTGAGGATGATCAAACACTGGAACAGGTTGCCCAGAGAGGTTATGGAGTCTCCATCCTTGGGATTATTCAAAACACAGCTCTGAGCAACCTGCTATAGATGACCCTGCTCTAGGGAGTGGCGTTGGATCGGGTGATCTCCAGAGGTACCTTCCCACCTCAGCGGTTCTGTGTGATTTGGAGTACCTGGGGAGCACGGTGCACTTCAAGCATTTGTCCTCTGCTGGGGGTACCCAGTCTCCTCCCTCTGTTGCATTAGGGATAGGCTGCCGTCTGAGGAAGAAATAGGCATGAGGCAGTGAGGAAAGAAAGACGGTGGCGATAAGAGACACATAACCCAGGTGCTGCAAGCGGAGCAGTTTGAGCTAAAGGAGCTAGGCACGCACACAGACACTGGAGCTGAAAAAGCGCTGATTTGCTCTTTCCTAGAGAAAGACAGTTGCTCCTCAATCTGCAAATATTTCACGCTAGGAAGAAAGTAGAGATATGGGATATATTGTTTTCCTCTTTCTACTCCGGATCTCTGCTCCGGAAGAGAAATACTACACGTGCAGATGTTCTGCACAAATATGTATATTTTTCAAGTTGTAAAAAGCAAACACATTTTTGCTTCAGCAAGCAGCTAATGATGAAATCTTTAAGAGATTGCTTCTTAGAGAGATAAATGGCACAGCAGGCTCCAGTAAAATCCTAAAAGGATAATTCAGCAATAAGCATTCTGGGAAAAAAAGAGACTTGTTTAATTTTTAAATTGCTATCACCACCTTTTCTAATGAAAAAAGCTTTCATATTTTCAAGCCTGTTAAATGAATCTTTCCTGTCTCTTAACTGCATGTGTTGGAAGTACTTGAGAGAGTTTCCAAATATTCCTTATAGGTTTACCTGTTCACTGATAGAAATCTAAGTGATGGGACTCTGAAACCTTTATTCAAGTAAGCCGTCATACTGGTATCACCAGAACTATCTGTATGTCAAAAACAATGCACTAAGGTAAGACTTTGCAGAATAAGACCACATGAGACCCGTAAAAAGAAATCCTTTCAGAACGCTGCACAGACAACTTCTAGATAATGTTTTATTGAAATACTCTTGATTTGACATAACTGTGATAATCTCACCTTTTGAAACAAAAACACTGACAAGATTTTGTGTGTCACAGGGAAATTATTTTAGGAATCGTTCAGTACTATTGCAGCGATTCCAGAGTATGATGCTCTTTTCCAGTACATGCTACTGCTTGCAGAGATATATCTATCTATGAGACATAGGATCCAATGTTATTTCCAAGAACTGATTATTATTTACAAAGCAACTGAATTGTGGCAAACTGCTTGTAGAGTGAGCAAACTGAGAAGAGAGAAGCATCCAATTGACTCACCTTCTAACCACATCCTGTTTTTCCAGTGCACTTTTTAAACGTTGATGTTGGTCCTCCCATTCATTTGGCAATAACATGAGCCTTCTTCATTCACCTGTCCCACAGCTACCTTCTTCATGGTCTGTCCCTTGCTTTTTGCTGAAAAGGAAATGCAGCCGCTAATGCAGTTATTTGTACTCGGGGGCAGAACTGCATATAACAGCAGGCTAAAAAAACACTATTCCTAAATATTTGTTGCCATCCTAAAATAATTTGAACATCAACTCTCCTAAAAAGCATGAGTAAAATCTAGCACTACCGAATGAATAGAATTTATCCCATTGACTTCAGCAATGCTAAGATACCTGTAGCCCAGGTATTCTGATATCTATTGATAAAATTCATTACTCTCAGATAGCCACAATTATTTAAATGCATAAAAATGAAGCAATGACTATTTAGCCAACAGCATGATATGAATTAAATAGCAACAACATGATAAAAATAACTATTAATGTTACATATACACTTACTGGAATACCAGACTTCAAGCAACAGTGTTTTAGATTATCTTGTTATTTTGTTTTGGTTTTAGGTTGTTTGGGTTTGGAGGGTAGGTGTTAAAATATTCTGATTTCTAGTGCTTTGATTTGTTTATGTATTTGATTATGCATTTGTAAATACGGAATACCATCTCAACAGTGGACCGTATGGTGCCATGAAACAAAAAAGTACCTAGTTTATATTAAGATATCTTTTTATACAGTATGTTGAGTCAGATTAATATTACCATACTTAATTAATCTGTGGATTCTGAATTGCATTACTGAAAACAAGAAACTTGTTTTGCCCTATTTGCTCTGACTAATCAAGGCAAAAACAAATTTGCTCCAAAAAGTACCTTCTCATTTAATAGTAAGCCATGATTTCCCCTCTGTACTCCCCAGCAGTAGGGGAAATATACTTCTAAGAGGGTACAGTAGTCTAATCTTAGCATAAGTAACAGAGAAATCACCGAGGAAATGAATCACCTTTCTCAATGTATTTTTAAGAGCTATTGTGCCCCACCACAGTACACTGTGCTCAGTTACCTTTTGGTTTCACAGTTTCTTTTATTATCAACTTGTGCATCCAGTTGGAGATGCTTAACCATCTCTATACTCAGAAAGGATGTTTTATTTATAGCATTTTTACTCCCCATAAGTAGACAGTTGCACTGATCTGGCATTTGAATTTGGTCAAAGGATGCTGAATAACAAATATGGCAATTAATCAGAGGCTTCCTTGGTAAACAAAGAAAAGTTAGATAATCAATTTTCAAGTGTTATACCTTGCCTTGCAGTTTTGCACTTTTGATTAACAAATGCACTGCAAACTACTGTTGTGTCTAGCATATCTGTACTTCCAAAGCTATCCAGCAAAACTGGGACAAAATCTAAAAGATCCAGATTCATTTGGGATGTGGAGCTAAGAGTCTTTCTCAAATGTGAGTCAGCCCTAGAGATAGCTGTGTTTCTGTGCTAACTGTGGAAGGTGATTGTATTCCTAAATTCAGCAGGCTCCTTCAAACAAGCTAAAATTCACACTATAAACTTATGCTATGAATATTGTCTTGAATTACATTTTCAAGTCCTAACTGGTCTCTGAATTTCAGAAAGTCACTTTTGAAAATCAATACCCTGGAAATTGACCCCTGTTGTGATCTACAGTCCTTTCCTTCTCCTCCAAGTCTGGAGAAGTACCTTTGTTAAGGTCAGAGGTAGTTTTGTTAAGTCAGACTCACGTAACCAAAATTTTCACAGCTAACACATCTGTTCTGGGTTCTGGTTCTTACTGGGAAATCATCTAAACTAATAAAAGTATTTATCAAAAAATATTATCTTCATGTGGAAATCCATTACGAAGCGACTTGTGAGAAGTCACTCATAATCTTATAGAAGTGCAATATTTCTATTTTAACTTAAACCCAGCCTTATGTGAACTTCAACCATATACTCTAAGACTTAACCTAATGTAATATATTAATTCGAATTGTGCTGGCTTTTTTATTTTATAAAATAAAAAATTTATAAATATCCAGTTACTCAGCTGGAGATCACACTCCGCATTTTCTAATTTGCTCATTACTCTAATTCATTCCGATACCAGATTTCCATTCTAGCAGTTCAGTCAGATTCAAAAAGAAAATTCAAATTACTGACTTAAGATTTAGCATCCTTGTCATTCTTTCCTGTAATTAAAAGTATCAAGATAATAATGATTCTCATGTCAGACAGATGTGATGTAAGGTTTTGTTAGTACTTTGTGATTTTGCTGAAATTGGATTGAATCTGTGACAGTAAATAACGACCTTCACTCAAGAGCATTCTGAAGTCTCTGTTAATGAGGATTTACAAGGAGCCCAGAGATCAAGTTTTTAGCTTTGTCTTCTCCTTTAACTTATCTCCCATGTTAATTTTGCAGTTTTATGGCTCTGTTTTCCATGCCCCATATTCTTCTTTCTTGGAACTACTACACTTTCCTCATATAATACTCTTTTTGGGTTGGCTTTTACCACTAATCTTTGCTCTAACATTTATGTGTTGTAGTTTACGAAAGGACATTTGAAATAAGAAGCTAATGCAATAGAGAGACACTAAACAACAGTACTTCTGCTGTTCTATGTGCTTGGAAAACAATACATCCAAAAGCTACTTTTGACTTTTTATTGCTTCAAACTGTCATTAAGCACTGGAGTTTAATATTATGATTCATTGTTACCTGCCTAACCTAAAATAGAAACCCCTTGAATTTGAATCTATATTTATACTTTTGCTTAATGTCACATATGTCAATAAAATTAAAATGAGTAATATCTGGTAATATATGAAGTCATGATTATGCAGACTGTTCCTTTATTTTCAGTAAATTTCAGATTATTTTTACACCATGGAAAATGTAAGAATGAATAGAGGAAGAATGACACAAAGAGGCAGAGAGGAAGAACTCAAAATAATCTGGTAGATAAGGGAGCTAAACTTGTATTTACCAGCCAGAGAACCTGTCAGAGAGAACTGGTGATGGCCAGGATGTCATCTGTGCTTTGCTCTGATGGGAAGAGAACAAAAAGTACCCTTGACCTAAGAAATCAAGTGGATAAATTTGATCATAAATAAATAAAATAAATTTGATTCTTCCCAGATTTTTTTTTTTGGAGCCAAATTTTCTAATGAAGTAAAAAATTCAAAAGAGTTTGATTAACAATGTCATTTTGAATGACTGGTGGCTGCTTTTGCTGAAAGCTAAATAGCCAATAAAGAGTATTAGTAGAGAGGTTAATAGAGATCGGAAGTCACAGGTACTTCATAGATGCTCAGCACTTTTGCTAAACATAGCAGTGTCAGCTCAGCTCATCCACTGCAAGTTGGCGAGACAGCTGGGAGGGTTCCCAGCCGCAGCAGCAGAAGAGGATTAGAGAGCCTGATGGTATGATGTGCCCTTGGAAATTCAACGTTTTCTGCTAAGTGGTGGTTTTCATTAGCCTCCCTCACAATGTGTTTACCTCAATTTCTCTTCAACTCTCCCTCAGAGTCTTCTCATTGGACTCTTATTCACTCTTCTTTCTATCACTTCTCACCCTCTCTGCCTCTGAAGTCCACTTGTGCACTCTCCTCGCACAACAAGGTTTTTAAAAGAAATGAATGACATTATTTTTGCTTTCAAAATACTACATTCTGTTAGAGGACCCTATGATTTACCCCTTCCTGTCCTCTCCAACATTTCTTTTCGGAGTCCATTTAAAGTGTAGTGGCCGTGGAGCCTGGCTTGTTGTTTTTTTCAATGATTGCTTTGCACAGTGCAGTGCTGAAATGCACTGAGCTTCAAATGACTGCCATGATATTATTAGTAGTAAAAAAAGCATGTTAAGTTTTTCACTAGAGTTTCATTCTATGTTTCTCTTTCCTTTCTTTTTATTACTCACGGTCCCCAATTTTTTCCTCCTGTTTCCTCTTAGCTATGTTTTTAATTTCTCTTTAGGAGTTTTCAAATCAAATGATTTTTGTGTAAGGGTTGAATGGTCAAAAAGTCTGATACTTGAATAAGTTTGAAATTAGCAGAACACACTCCTAATCCTATGAAACTGAATGTAGGTAGAAGAGACCTGCTTACTTCAAAAAAAAAAAGAAAGAGATAAATTAAAGAACGTTTTGGGGGTATCTTGAAAATAATTCGGTTGTCTGAAAAAATCAGCCTTCAGAATAAGATAGATGTGTCCATATAAGGAACTAATATGTCAGTCTATACATCTACATCTGTCTAAGACAAGAGGTATCAGCCATGAAAAAAATATACAGTTTTATCACATAATTCTCAAATTTTTTGGTGACCGAGCACATTTCAGTCAAATCTTAAAGGAACAACTGAAACATAAGATATGGCGTCTGTAGCTCATTCACTGATTTAGAAATCTGATAGGTTCTAATCAAAGTCTAAGCTAAATGGAGCTTTTCCTTCAAGTTGCAAATAAATTAAGGACTATTCAGTAAGTAAATAAAAATTCAAAGCATTTTTTAAAAATCCTAAAGCAAAATCTTCGCCTCAAACCTAATTCATGTTTGAAAAGCTACAGAATATGCTGTCTGCTCCCATTTTAACCATTTGCTTTGAGGTGAATTGTGTTGTTAAAACAGTATTTTTTTTATGTATTTAGGATGAAGCACAAAGCAAGGTTGTTTGCATGTGATGCAGTTAGATGTGCATGAGGAAGGGAGATATATGAGCTCTGCATTTCAGAATGGACTGCTGCTCTGTTCTGAAAGAAAAGAGAGATGCTATCATAGCCATGATGGTCTAGTAATATGAGAGAAAATATAGTTAGATACAGCTCAAGGATCTTGATGTCAGAATTAGCTTGTATCAGTGTTACAGTTCTCAGATATTACAGAGACTCACATTCCCTGATGACATGCAAGTTCAGATAATGTCATTGGTAGTTGTTTCAGTTCTCAATGATATCCCTGTCTCATCATAATTCTGAATACTTGAAATCACCGTATTATATTTGTGCTCTCTATTTAGATTAATATTTGCTACAATTAATTCCTAAAAGTTCATATTTTTCAAAATAAGATCTATTAAAAGTATGTGCTAAATGAGTTTGGGGATTTTTTTTAAGTATT